TGCAAATGCATTGAGAGTAGCACCGTGTTCGGATCCGAGTAGCACAATGTTCACCCTGGATGAAGCCTATTTATGCCCGTAACCAGTCAGTCAGTCACCAAAAGATTCCAGTGTTGATTAAAGTTGAGGGATGTGTGAAAAAATGGGCAAAGGTCAGCGTCAAAGACGTTCGCTCCAATTTACTCATCATTGATCTTGCCATCTAAGAAGTAATTGCCTAGTCATGTTAAATGACTGCTTTCAAGTTTCTCGATATAAGATATTTTGTAACACCGTTCAGAATGGCAGAATTATTTATATGCGGTTTTTGCATCAAGGTGATCATAGCTTACCTCACCTCGAAAAGTTTTGATTATTAAGGGACGTTGCAAAATATCTACCGGAAAAATATAAGAAATTAAATTTTCCTCTGTTTTTCATTTCATTTTGTAGGGTGAACTATAACAAATCGGCAGCAACAACCGCAATGAAAAAGCTATGATACTTCTTTCTTTGGGAGGCCGTTTTGAAGTTTTATAAAATGAACATTTTGTAACTATTCTTAATGAAGATTTCTTTAATTAAATATGTATGCATAGATCACTGTTTGCGTAAATTGCAATGTTTTGCACTCGTTTTAAAGGTGCAAACGAGAAAGGTTCAATAATACAAAAATCATGGCTGGTCATGCAATAATTTTTGCGTAAGGCCGTTTTCAACTTTTATAAATTGACAATTTCAAATAATCAAATATATCAGAAAAATAACATTTATATCTTATTGATCGCTTCAAACAGGACACGAATAAGTCTGAAAATACGTGATGGCACCCTCAATACAAGTGATTGGCAATGGAAAGGCTTGAGCTGCAGTATCAATCAATTTTTAAAAATTTTCATTTTTTCTTACTTAATTTTAATCATTATGCTTCTCTGGACAATTAAACTTTCCAAAGTCCGTCATCCTAAAAATCAATCTCCTATGATTTTTATCTACAGCATTGAAAGACATATGCGATTCGCAAAGACCCCATCTAGCGACTCTAGAAGCCTCTTTTTCGATTTGTACATGGTTTGGATTATGTATTGAAAAAGTAGGGGGAGGGGAATAAAAGAGGGGAAAATAGAAAAAGTCATTCACAAAATAAAATAAATCGAAAGAAGGCATGGATATTCTCCGATATATATTCTGTTTACAACTCGAATGATAAGTCTCTCAATGTCGTACCTGGCACGCTGAAAGAGGAGATAGATTTATAATATACCTCCCTTTTTTGACGTTTTCTAAGAACTTCACCTATTGTTTAAGTTTCTTCAAAAAATTCATAGGAGCAAATGTTTTCTTTTAATGATTTATATATGTTTACGAGGTTTCAGAAACATCGGTCATTTATTTAAGGAGACAATTTTTAGGGCAGACGCTCCATTTACAAAATGCAAATAATTTCAATCATTTCGACAACAAGGATTTAGTTGTGAAAATCCTGTTCAGAAGACTACGACACTACTTCACCCGTTAACAGAGGTCGGTGCAAACGATCGCGCATCAAAGTGGACATCGAATTGGCAAGATGTAGATTAAATATTCCGAGTTAAATGCTCATATCGATAAGCTGTTGTGGTCAGGAAGTTGCCTGCGCTCCAAAGATAACAATATTGATTGTTTGTTAATATGATGGCGGATAGAAACTTTTTACTAAACGTTCAGTTATCGCAGGGAAAATTAAAAAGGTTAGAAAGCTGGGAGCAATTTTACACTCTAACAGATAAAAAAATTAAAAATATGAGCCTAATAATCTTGAACGTCCCTGTTTGAAGGTGAATAAAAATATCACTTTACCTAGAAAGTTTTTTAGACTGATTTGTGAATTAAATGCAACTGCGGACAGATTGGTACGAAATGTGTCTATCACTGCAGTTTGTGTACAGAAAAATGTGCCGTAAGTCGCTTTACATCGATGAAATCAGACGATAAACGGACACTGAAAGTCATTGTTTCATCATTCGGATGACCACCAGAGTGTTCCAGAGTATACATAACCCGCCATTGAATATGAGGATAAGTTTTGTCCAAAAATAAAAGTATAGGAACTGTCTCTTTGAGCTCTAATCCAACGCCGGGGTCAGAGAGCTGAGCTGAGAGCTGTGTTGGGCGGAACCTCAGCACATATCCTTTCCTTCGATTTTCCACATTTCTTTCTTCAGTGAGTATTTTCTTTTTATTATAAAGCTACTAAATATACTTGTCACTTTCTGCCTCTCGTGTATTGCAAACCAAAATTTATCGACACGCATAGTATGAGCTTCCTTTAGCTATTGTTATTTGGTTTTAAATTGAATAGTTTTCAATGCTGCGAAGGTTCAAGCTGCTGTTAACCTTCTGCATGATACGTTGAGGCTATGGTATTTGTTCCGCCTTCCATGTAATGCATTCTGAATCTGCAATCATTTGTAATAGGTTTCAACAGAAAGACTTTTCATTGTGCTTTGTGTTAAGTTAAATAAAACGCTTTCTTATTAATATGTTATTTGTATTAATAATATTATTAATTAGTTATTGTGGTTGATGGTAGGAAAAATATTTATTGCACCTTTCCTTACTGTGGTAGCTTGTTTGAAACAATGACCAGAGAATAAAAGATCTTACTTCTGAGATATTTTCTTAATGCCAACTTGCATGTTTTGCGAGTGAAAAATTTCGAAATTGATTCCTTCCCCAGATATAAGAATATTGTTTCTGCCCCGGTGCGGTCTTCCCTCGTTAATGAACACAGTTGTGCGCTTTGCGCATAATCATACGTCGGAATGACGTCACGTAATTCCTTCATCTGGGCTTCTTAACACAGCAGCAGCTTTTCACGCTGCTGTGAACCTTCATGCTGAACAGTGCGAGTGAATTTCAGGCACTCAATTATTCCACCTCAGCCTGTACGGATTTTAAGATTTTGGAATGGTCGAACAGTTTTAAACGGAACCATTGTCTTCGTGCAGTTTTCATCCTCTTGAAGCTGTATATGACAGGCTTTTATGTTCCGTTGTAGTTTTCTTGTTACTTAGGTTTTATTATCTTCCGTTAGAATTTCGATTTTCACGGATAATTGTAATTGTAATCTAGAAAATTTTCTGGACTGGCAATGCAGCTGGCTTGACGTTTTCGTTGCTTTTTAATTTATGGTTTGTCAATTATAGTCTTTGACCGTAAGCCAATAGTTTTAGACAAAATTCTCATGGTCTCAGTTTTAATTCAAGTCCAAAATAAAAAAATGAGTACTCAATAGAAATCGGTAATAAGGTCGTTTTCACGAGTCAAATTTTGAAATTAATTTTCAGCATTTCTGGAATTGATTGATAACTTGCATCGTAAATTAAATATCAGAATCAAAAGAATGAGGCTTTTCCTAATTCTTCGTCTTGTTAGGAATTAGGGGTAGGAATTATCCGATTAATATCTGTTTAAGCTGATAATTTAATAGAAAATCTGATGTATTTCTTTAATTTGAACATGCCAAAACAAATATTTTATCATGTGCCAGATTGCTCTAACAACTTGCAGTAGAAGTGCCCGCTCGTGCATAAGCTCGTTTATCCATCCTCGAGGAGTTAGCGGCAGGCACGACTGAGCGAAAGCAGCTTCGCACGTTTCATTGTGTATAATAATTGAATATAACCTTGGATTAAAACGTAAGACACGAAATTTGTCCTGTCGTGATGATAACAAGAAAAAATCGCAGTTTTCGAATTGAGATAACTGATTGTTGAATGTATTTACCTGCTGAAGAATCACGATTGACTCGATACTTGGCGAAATTTCTCTTATAAATTAATTTTCCACTTTAATTTCTCAGCTCCAACAACTGGTAGAAATCCACATTGTATATAGAACAATTTTTATTGATTAAAAAGTGGAAAGACATTTCTGGTGTTCTTCTCTTAAAAGTTTGCATTTTCAAAATTGCATTCCTAAGAGATTGGGGCCAGAGGAATTACTTTCTTACCTTACCTCAACTCTACTTTCCTATAACAAAATCTGAACGAATTAATGATAACGAAAAACGTTAAATACTGGTATTTCTAGTACCCAAATGCAGGGTAACTTTTAATTGCGTGTACTATAAAAAGTGTAAGTGTGAAGATCTGTCGGGCTTTCTACTGTAAAAGTGTCAACCATCCAAAATGCCAATCATCGATATTCTTTAATCCGCTCTTTTATGTCCTGTTCTTACTGTTTATTCATTTCCTGAGCAGCATCAAGCTCGATTGTTCTCTTCAAATAAAACATTGATGATTTTGTATTCGATTTGAAGAAGCATCTTCAATTAATTATCTATTTGCTTACTCAGCTAAATAATTGCAATTTCAAGCAGCAACTCATTAAAAGCAGCCGTCGACATCATGGGCATGAATCAGTGTTTATTTAAACGTAATTCAGCCAAAACCAAACAGTCCTCACAATATGATGAAGAAAAAGATGCAACATAGAATATGAATAAAATATTTATTTTGATTAATTTCGGCAATGCAAATAATTGTACAAATGATGCCCAGAATCGTCGAGGTGGGAAGGGTTGAATTATGCATTAATTCCTCATAAAAAATAAGTAATAAAATAAAGTTTGCATGAAACCATTGAAAAATGATTCAGCTAGTCTACCCTGATGGTACGGCAAAAGAAATGAAACTTATTATTTAAACCCACAAAGTAATTTTCATATCATGCAGCCATGATGAGTAATGCTTTCGAACAAAAAATCTGAACTCAATTCGTATACATAAAATCTTTTTAATTGATAATCAGTGGCCAAATTCGCTGGGGAATATCTGGTTGTTAATCGTCATTAAAGCCATTCTTAACTATAATCAAATTGATTATATTAGTAGTTATATGCTTTGTTTATATTATAACTTTATAAAACTAAAATATGATTAATCTACTTTCGCCGAACATAATCTCATAAAATATTAATATTTATTAATATTATTATTTATACAATTTATTAATAATAAATATTAATTAATAGTCATGAATAAATCATATTATATTGATAACTCAATAGAGTCAATAATATTAGAGTCATCTGACGATTTAATCATCATAAATGTAGCTCCCAAGGCAGCGATGGACGTCTCAAGTCGCTTTAGCTCGGCTCTCAGGACATCGTTGCGCTTTTGTTCCGCTTCGAATTCGTTCTTGTGTTTTTTAAAGTCCTTTGCTTCTCTCCTACGTTGCTCTCTGGCTCTGGCTGTGTTGCTCATTCTCTGACTCTCTCGCTCCTGCACAGGTAGCATGTTGACGTAAACACCTGGCAAGGGTGAAAAACTTCTTTTTATGATTTAATTATTTGTGGTAACGGGCGAAATCCGCAATTTCTGCCGGTTTATTGGTAGAACTACTGAGCGGGAGACACTTCGCTTTCGGGAGTCTTTGGTGTCATTTCTTAGCTGGATCAAACACTAGTCGTTGTGTTTGCAAAAAATTGAGTTTCTTGATGAAAATAATAGATGTGCTGTTGAATCCCGGCGTTATTTCCCGTTGAATTTATTCAGCGTTTAAAAGAATTTCTTCGATGAAGTAATCCTTGAATTCTGGAAGATATCCAGCGCCTTGTAGTCTGATCTGTAGGAATAGAAAAATAGCGGTTTATCGTAAAATCTAAAATTATTTATTTCCAAATTACGTAATGTAATAGTATTCGATTAATTTTAAGTTGTATATTATTAGTTTTCAGTTCACATTTAACAGAATCAACCTAAATCTCATGGTAAAAGTATTCCTATCACGGAATAATTTTATTATCAACATTAAAACTTAATTGTAAAAGGGATATGCAATAAATTTTGTCTTTTTATAACATGAAATTGAAAAAGAAAAGCTACTATTAAAGGTATGTTAGTACATAAGGTAAATAAGTCCTAGAGCTTTGAGATTATAGCTTAGTCAGACACTTCGCTAATTGTTATTCCTAATTTGAATGAAATTTCGTGAATTTTCTTTTATTAAACGAAATTTTTTTTCCATTCGGATAATTTCACTAGAACTGCGTCTCAAATGCTCATTTGCGATCGACGCCACATTTTAAACGCAAATTTCCGAACATGCTAATAGGAAATCTGAAAATGTGCTCTAATATCCTTCAAATAATTAATGGTCTTTGTTTAATGGAGGCATTAACGGACTTTTGATTGCACTTAATGAACTCGTGACAATGAAATTATAAGCCCTTGACGGCTGAAGTACAAATTTTTCCTTACCAATTACAGGAGCAAAAACAAAATTATTCGAAAAATTTTCATATTAGCAGGAATCAAGGGGCAATATCGAAAGGAATTCTGAAATAATTTCAGTTATGATAAAAAACGCTCGAGCGATCTTACCGTGAGTAAAACTAGAGCTGCCCATACTAGGTCCACCAGCGCAAGCCACTGCCACAGCACACTTGGTCCGGCCTGCCGCCCTCTCACCGTGAGCGCGCTTGACTTCTGCGCTACCGCCGCGTCCCGGAGCTTGGCGACCTTCCTTGTCTTATCTGTTCTACGATAAATGACACAATTAAGCTCCTTAACCTTATCTAATGCTAGTGGTAAAATGATGCAACGATTGCGTATATATAACTTCTTGCAAAAGTACATTACTTATTATGGTACTTGTGTACACAAGTACCACAATAAGTGCTGTAAGTATAAGTACCATAATAAGTATAAGTGTACACAAGTAAATTACTTATAATAGTGCTGGTGAATTGTTATTTTGTTCGTAAATTATGATGACTTCGTGAATTGTGACGGTTTTGGCAATTTGCGATTGCCTTCATAAATTGCAATAGAGTACGTAAAGTATAATGGAGCTCGTAGATGATTATGGCAATTGTAAATAATATATATCATGGCAATCGTGCATTTGCACTTATATTCTAAGAGAAAACCAGAAATTGCGAAAATTCTACTATTGCAATAAATTTCAAATGGTTATTAAGATATTCTTGTAAAACAAGCACTATATTTTGGCTGCTAATTTGATTAGTGTAAAACAAGCACAGCCATCGCTTGCTAATGCTCACCCTTAAGTCGGTTCTATACTCTCAGCTTAAGGTGCGAGTCGAACTAAAGTTGGCGATATCGCCCCCCTAGGGGCGGTGGAACGATTTTGGGGGGCGGTAAGGAAGAAGAGGGCGTTTGGGGGGCGGTAGGGGGGGCGGCAGTCCGAAGTCAAAGTCAGAAGTTTCAAAGTTTGTTTGACGATTTATACACAACACGTGCAGCACATTATACGACTCCCAGCGATGTTTTTTTCACCCAGATCTGCTTTTTAACCTCTAAAAAGGTTGCCGTTTCGCGCTAGCTATTCCAGTGAGTCGTATGGGTCGTAAAGCCATATGGAATCTAAATGAACTCTGGAATGCCGCGAGGAATCTATCTCGTAACCTCTAAATTGTCAGTGAATTTTCAGCTGTTTCCAGAAATGAAGTGGGGCAAGCAAAGTAGAATGGCTAACAATATTTATTATTCGGTGAGAGAATGGCAAATAAATCAACCGCGCCAGAGCTCAGCCGACCGTCGACCGATCTCATCGCTCCCCCACAGGTTCCCTGTAAATTACAGAAACAGAAACTGAATAAATTTAAAGGAACATAAAGCATAGATTATTATTTGAACAATTATATTCATTACACTACTGGATGGCGAGCCCAATAAGTGTAGAAAAGAGATTACTGAATCAGGTTCCTTAGAGTCCCCAAAATAGTATTGGCTGAAGGCCAGGAATCAAGTGGCCAACCCTTTCCCGTACCTCGAATAGTTCGTAGGATCGAAGTACAACGAAGACCTCCATTAGTCGACTCCGGGACAGTCTCCACATGTAATGCTCCGCGACCGTCGACCGTCTCAGGTAAGCGCGTGTGGCAGGTGGAGTAGAGCGGTAGCGTAAGGTGTGCTCTGGGTCAGGTCAGTAGATAGTCTACTGTTGGAAGACTAAAGGGAACTGAGCAGGCCTTGCAGTTTTCTTCTCAAGACGGAAATTTAAAGAAGACGGGAAAATAATTGGCTACAATAAATCTTTACTTAATTGATTATGAAAATCTAGAACTCGTCACAATGTAAAATTGTGCATGCAGCATGAATTGCATTTATTGATGCTCATTTCCTCGGCTGAGCATTGTTTGCAGAAACTGAATCGAAACACTTGCGAGCAAGATTCTGGTCGAATTAAACACTTACGTGCCGCGCTGGGTTTGCGAACACAGTTCGTGAACGTTCTCAACAGTTCGGCATGAACTAATCCAGTATGAGAAAGAATTTGATCTGCCTTTGTTGAGTAATGAATTGCTGTAGGTCAAGTTCGAACTGGGACACCTGATTGAGTAGGCTACTTCAATCAATAAGACTTTCACAGTTGGTCTATCAAATTTTAAGTTACATTCTCGGAGTTTAATGGTTTGATTGAAAAAATTCCATAACCTAGGTGTCGTGCCAAGTACTCCATGTCGTAAATATTAAACCATATCGTTGAATTTTTAGAATAACAGCTTGTACAGTACATACTCAGTGCGCACGGGAGTCTCTGCTGCATGTCAGTAAATGTTATACGGTTATGCCTCCACTGCTTATTAGAGCTCACCTCGTGCAGCGACTGTGCCGTTACCACTTATCATTTTAATTAGAGAAATAAAGACAATTGTTTCATCATCATGTTAATTCTGCCTTTGAAGACACCATTGTTTCTACACACATTTTCTGGAATACATAGACTGATATAAAATATATACTAACGTTGCTAGGAATATTACCAACTAATCTTTTAAATAAGCTGATATGACGAACATTATTTCAAAGATATTACCGTCATTCTATAATTATGACCGTCGTCGCTCTTACTTTTTTAGGCAAATAAAAAGTGTAAAAGCAATTGTTCTGTGATGATTTTTAAAGGTATATTGACATACTGTATATCTACGATTTACAGAATGTTGTCTTTTTACACGTCTCAAAAAAGCTAGTGTGACAAATTTTGGTGGCGTTGCATTACGGTTCAAGCATTCTACTCGAGAGAGAAACTGCCTGATTTTACCAAATTTATTTTCTATTCATATTTTTCAATTAATAATCCTATTTTAAGTTGAAAGTTGGCCTTGAAATAATTCATGATTATTCAAAATAAAACTTTGAAAATGAGAGCCATACACCCCACCCATAGCTATAAAATGTACCGGATTGAAATTCGATGAAAATCTTAGCTAACAAATTATTCACGAACCGATCACTCCTATCAGAATATGGATTCCTGCCGGTTTCTTTTACACGTAAATTAAATTGCTCTTAGAGTGCATACCGTGTAATTGCCATGTACTGTAGATAGTGTAATTACTGTACGAATTGATTACTGTTACTTTTGATGGAAGTTAACGTTTTGACCATTGTTCAAAGATCTAAATCTTTCGACGTAGTTTTGGTCCCGCTTCTGCTAACCGGACTCAGTTACTGCAGAAAAGATTCGGCCTACCGCGCTCACGCCACTCACAGTTCCTGCTTCCTAACCGTCTTATCCCGGAATGCGACGTTGCTTCTTGTCTTATCAGTTCGATAATAAATATCCCGATTCCCTTCCCTCATCTTGGTATCGTTGTGTAAAATGATGCAATGTTTAGGTTCTGGGCATGTGCGATAGATGCACGCCTTCTATTACGGCGTTAGAGAAGAAAAGATTCGGCCTGCCGCGCTCACGCCACTCACAGTTCCTGCTTGCTAACCGTCTTATCCCGGAATGCGACGTCGCTTCTTGTCGTATCAGTTCGATAATAATTATCCCGATTCCCTTCCCTTATCTTGGTATCGTTGTGTAAACTGATGCAATGTTTAGGTTCTGGGCATGTGCGATAGATGCACGCCTTCTATTACGGCGTTAGAGAAGTGTTTTAGTGGAATTACTCGTAGTTGATTATTGCAGTTTATTCAGATTACGAGCAAAAATAGTGCTGTAGTTGCATCAATGCGCGTATAATGCAATACTTTATGCAAATTCTATAACTGTCAAGGTCTCATTGGTGAAATTTCTTCAAAATAGTTTGAAGGCTACCACAAGAAAATAGTAATAATAATAGTTGTAGCGATGATAATAATTATAATAATATTGTTAATAATAACAATGTTCATAACAATAATGATGATGATAATAATAATATTCTGTTACCAGTATGGTGATTAAAAAGACATGATAGTTTTTATAGGATGAAGGCTATACTAAAACGTTAATGTAATAATAGAGTAAAAGCTACACATAAGACACAATGAGAAGACGTATGAGTAGATGTATGGTAGATTAAAAGACATAAACGTAATAGTAGGGTGACTAAAAAGACAAATGAGTAATTATTAAGTAATTGAAAAACATGCAAATTATGGTAGGATAAATGAACAGTCATAAAACTTATGTAATTTGATTCTGACGAGCAAAAGTGAAAAAGTTAAAGTTCCTTGCTGTAAAGTTCTCCGCTTCAATTTCGTCCTGCTCTCATTTAGATGAACAAAAACACTTTAAACCGAAGTTGCTGAACCGAATCCTGGTAAAATATAATTCCTTTAAACATATGGCCGTTTTTTTGGTACACAACAGAATGCATCTTCCATACCTAACAATTGAAATACATATCAACGTTGATACCACATTTTGGAGTGTGGAAAGGTGATTTCCTTCGAAGGATTCAAATATAACTCGAATTATGGACCGTCGAGCAGCTATTTCAATTGTAATCGATGGTAAGACGACACATGAAGCGTTGTCATTTATACAGCGTCCCTGGTTATACAAACCCAATAGCTTGTCTTCATTTCCGAGTTCACATGGAAATCAAATGCGCCAATTAACGACGAAAGACTATCGTGTGGCGGCTCAATATGCATTTAGGTGTTTCAGGTGAGATATTTTGATAAAGAACCGATGAAGAGCGGCATGAACGAGAGCCCCACAAGCTCCAAAACCTTTTGGGGTGCCGACAATGAGCTCTCGAATGGTTCTTCCCTAAACCGAAAAGCGGTCCCGCGTGTCGAGCCTTGGCGATAGTCGCAGCGGCGAAGATAACAAAATGACTTTGATTACACATCTATAAATAAGTCAGGCCGAAATCGCGAAATTGCCGATTCTATGGAATTGGCAGCCAGAGCAGTGTAGTAAAATTTAACGTTGCTGAACGCACTGCGCAAGACGTGTTGAATAGACCTGGTGGTTAGAAGAAAGTCAAGCAGAATAATGCAGCTAGTACAAGCAGAAAAACATACGTGACTGTGACCCTGGTGAGTATATTCGTTTATTTCAATGTGAATTTATTAAATAATTTTTTCTCTTGTGTTACGCTTTCTTTAACTCAAACTGAAAAATTAAATACTGAAATGTTATCGTTCTGCATTGAATTTATTTTTACGGAAGGTTTGAACGTTGGCGTTTGTACTTAGTAACCGTTTAGCACTTTTTGTCCAGCCTAGATACGAATCCATGAAAACGAAGCTCGATCGATTTCCGTCACAAGATTCCGTTCTGGATACAGAGCGTTCTGAACGTAAAGATGGCGCCCGTGCTAGCGATATGCCAGCGTGCATGCCCGAGGTGAGGACGAAGGCCGGTGATATTATAGGCCGGTGAGGACGCTTTTTTAAGAAAAAATGTATACATTTCAATCATGCATTGATAAAGACTAAAATCCTAAACAACTGCAGATTAGTTGATCATAAATGTGATTCATTACGCATACTGCATGAGTAACCATGCATTGATCTCTTGAAAAACAAGGATTACTTTTTAATATTGGATAAGATATCACAATGTATTTCGCTATGTTGAAAACGCAAGAAAATATAATATTACTACCAACAAGAGAGTTCGAAGTCTTGAAAACGCAAACGAGCGGGGGGTGAAAAGAAACACGGCATCGAATCAAACTTGAATTATTTATAGAGCCGCGTAGTTTCCAGCGCACCCCGAAGCAGCGGCAAAATTCCCGTGAGCGTCGAGAGTGTCGGAGTGCTGCCGCCGCACCGCACGCGGTTGACAAGAAGTGACTGCCTGCAAATATGGACACTAAGTTTGAGAAAATGATACGAATCTTGCCAGAGCCAGAGTTCTGGAAGCTATAAAAGTAATTTAATCATTTGAACA